CACTAAGAAGAATATATGCAGTGTGTTATTTGTTGAAACTGTACTTCCGATTTGATTTGAAACTGTCTCATCACTGTTTATCAATAAAATTTTGGGGAAAAAAAAAAAAAAGGAACCCAGAGATAGATGGAGGGGGAAGGCAGGGGATGAAAAAAGAATTAAGATGTGTTACCCACATGTAACTTCCCATAGTGATTATAATCATTATACACTATAAACAAGTATTAACAAAAATAATTTTTAAGTGAAGTTATTTTTTATTAGAAAAGAGTATTATCTTGGTTATTTTTCTCATTACTGAGACAAAATACTCAACTCCCAAGTTAAAAGACGAAGGCTTTACTTAGCTGACAATTTGTAGAGGTTTCAGTCCATAATAAGTTGGCTCCAAAGCAGGAAACATGGCAGAAGGGCATCAAAAAAGAGAAGCAGTTCGTGGCAGGAAGAAGACAAAAGGCAGAAGGCACCAAGCTGCGAGCAACCAACTGTAAGTAACTAGCAGCAAGCCTCTTTCTGTTCCTTATATCCAGGCTATCCACTCTTAGGGCAGACAGCACTCACCTCCTTAATCCTAGCATTGCACCATAAGTAAGTCACACACTCTAAATCCAGCCACCTCTGAAAAAGCCCCACTTATAACTGCATGAGGCCTTTGGGAGACAGCTAAACACAAGCTGTAACAATTATGTATTTTATTTTCCTACACTATTAAGCAATCAAAAGACAAGTTTTTGTATATGAAAAGAATCTAGTTATCATAATCACATAAGCCTCTGTTGTATGCATAAAAATGTCAGATATGCATGTTGAGCCTCTTTGATTTTATACTGTTTTCAGTTCTGATATATCTTATAATTGTTCTGATTCTTCTTTTGATGTTCAATGTTAATAGTCCTTTTCTTGCCAACCTCTTCTAAACACAGAATAAGTTTATTATACTTCTATGTGGAAAAATCCTGTGAATAAGCTACATTAATAAAAACCTTTCTGACCTCTGTTTTGGCCATTCAAGCAAACTGTTTCTCTCTCTCTTGTATTTTAGGGAAGGGTCTACAGGGTGTCAGCTATTTGTGTGTTCTTTACCCAGTTACTTTCAAGTACTACAGGTATTGCCTCTGTAAAGGAAAGAGAACAGTTAAATCTGTTTAATAAGCATTTCTCCCCAAGTTTATCAGCCTCTGTTGTAACTCACTGTGGCCATATTGACTTGGTTTTCACCAATGGCAGTGGATCAGTACAGCACTTCCAGGCCTGAACCACACAAATATCTCAAGCACAATTATTTTATCTTTGTTGACCAGCTGTAAGCAAAGGACACCAGAGCCCTAGAGCTGCAGCTATCAACTGCAGTTCTAGATCAGAGGTCCTTAACAGATACCCTAACAACTGGGCATGACAGCACAAGACTATGACCCAGCAGTTTGGGAGGCTGAGTCAGCAGAATCAGCAGGGGCCGGTCTCAAGGGAAATAGCTCAGTAGAATAAGCACTTGCCTGGCAAGTGCAAGGGCCAGAGTTCAATCCCCGGTTCTGGGAAAAAAAAAAA